GACCTGGGTTATTTTGAGATCAGTGAAGGACAATATTGATACATAATCTTTTATTCAGAAATAGTGTTTCCTAAAAAAACTCATATTGGAAGAATTCCTACTATAATCCCACCTAATGCTCCACTGATTTTATTCTTTACATCAGTTATGGAAAAATTGATCGTTCTTAATGCAAGGTCAAATTTCTGTTCACTATTAGCTGCTGTCTCAGCAGTTCTTTTACTGCCTTGCCTACTGCATTCCTTTGCCATTTCAAGCTTTTCTTAGTTCGAGATGTTTTTTGTTCTAACTTTGAATTGTTGCTTCTATATTTAATTTTTGAAGAGTGTAAAAAGTGATCTCCTAGTATGCAAAGATAATCAGCTTAATCAAACTGCTTTAAAAACAGACTAATGCCTCTTCTGAAACTAATATGCCTACCTGTAAAGGGTTCCAGAAAAAGGAAACAAAATTGCCTGCCATTAATGTATGAGTCAGTGCAGTGACAGAGGTTGGCAAAACTTTTTTGATGCCTTGGACTCTCATAATTAGCTTTATTCTTCACTGATAGAAGCAGAGGTAGAATGGGAAATGGAGTGAAGATAATTTCAGAATGCTTTTACGCAGGACACTTCCCATCGGCGTTAAGGGAGGCGAGGTATTTGTGTGACTGCTGAGCTCTGCTTGCCGTGCGTTGGAGTGTTGATGCGCATGCTTCATCTTCAGCTGCTTCCCAAGCGGGGAATTGTGTAACTTAATCTGGGAAGTGTATGAGAGGGGGGAACACACCTGACAGTATCGGCAAGAAAGTACCTCCGTATACATCAACATCGCTCCTCTCTGCCTGCATGCTCTGGAGCCGCTGTGGAGCAGCAGCCCTGTGCTGCCGCCCGCGGAGCTGCTGGGTCGGGGTGGCAGGTCCCTGCGCATGTCCCCGCTCGTGTGTTGGCCCGCGCCAAACGCGAGCCGCCTCACCCCGAGTGGTAGGAGTGCTCTGCTCATACTCCTCAGCACTCTGAGAATGGGGGGAAGTAGCCTTAGGGAAAAGCAAGCTAAAATCCACTAGAAGAACGTAAAGAGGATGAGCAATCTGTAACCAATGCGTGAGCTGAAGCTGAGCAGAAAGCGGCCAAGCAAAAGGTGCCGAAATGGTGAGCGTGTGAGAATGCGGTGCAAGAGGAGGCTCGGTCTCTGCAGAGCTCGGTTACATGGGAGCAGTCGTATTGTGCAGTTAGAAGTGCAAACAGAAGCAGAACTCTTCATCAGAAGCAGCACTTGCATGATGTGAAGGTTGTGACATGGTGTGGCAGAACGGATGCAGAAATACTGTATTTCAAAGGGAGGAAAAGTACATCTTCGGGGTAGTCAGTTGCCAGAAGAAAGGGTTTTTTTGGGTTAGTTTGTCTATGTCTTTGTGAGGATAGCTCAGTCTGTGGCTAGAGAAAATTTGGATTTGTGTTTTTCCAAAGCTGCTGTTTTCTGTCACTTCACTTCATGCCTATCAAATCATACCTCTTCGGATCTTGCTAGGTACGGCCTTTCAGCTAAGCAACTGAAACGACAACTTTCCCTCTGCTGATTAAACAAACACGGCTATTAAAACTGCTCAAGAGTGTTTTTCCTAAGTATTCGCCAGTGTTTTATTTAAATAAATGTCAGGAAAAACCTTGTCACAGATTCGTGGTGTAATTTAGGTTGGAGGTCATGCAGCCTAACACCCTGCTCGGAGTAGGGCCAAATTTGGTGTCGGATCAGGTTGCGCAGGGGCTGGTCAGCTTTGGGATATCTCCAGGGATGGAGGTTCTGCAGCTTGGAACCTGTTGCAGTGCTCAACCATTACTCTGAACCTTCCCCAGAATTAGGTTGTTATTTGTGTTTCACTGTCGCAGTACGACTGATACATCATTCCACTATGCTGCTTCTCCATGGCATCTTCCAAGGAAAACCAGCGACGGCAAGGCCAAGGCGCTGGTTACAGGGTTCACGTGGTGCCCAGGTTCCCACAGCAGTCAGCAGAGGAGGAGCCCAAGGAGACGGTTCACAGCAAAATCCTACTGAAGTGTTCTTGGTCACATCACCTCAAGTACTGGAGCCCTGTGACTGAGTGACTACTTGCATGTTTAAAACTGGGCCATGTTGAGATGTCCTTCAGCAGCCATGCTAAAAAAGCAAATTTAAACCAAACCAGCCAGGAGAGTGCGACCGCCTGATCGGAGAGGTGGTGCGAAGCCAGGGCCTTTGCGAGACAGGCTTGTCTTTGCAGGATTTACTGAGAGAAGTGGTCCTGGTCCCTTTGCCCTCCTCTCCCCTTTGCTTTCCCGGGCTGCTAGATGTGTCCACAGTACCACAGTATGTTAGGGATTGGCAGGGACCTCTGGGGATCACCCAGCCCAACCCCCTGCCGAAGCAGGGTCACCCAGAGCAGGCTGCACAGCACCGCGTCCAGGCAGGGCTGGAATATCTCCAGAGAAGGAGACTCCACAGCCTCCCTGGGCAGCCTGT